GACAAAATTATTTTGAAATTTGTATTTTATAAAAAAAAAAATAAGGTTTATTACTTTTCTCTTAAACTATATGTAAAGCCGCAATTTATTGGTTTACAATTTTTTATTTTCTTAAACAATTGCTATTATTATGAGCAGAGTGAGACTAGAATTCAAAAAACAAAATAAAAAAATAAAATAACAGTAGATTTGTTTTTTTTCATTACCATTAAAAGGGCATTGACAGAATAAATTATTAATGTTTTTAAGTTGCCCTTTTGAATTCCGAATATGGTGTTAATTTTGTGATTAGAATTTCTTTTTGTTTTTCTTGTAATTCAATTTCTTTACCATTGAATTGAAGTTCCAATAAAGTCTATAAGACAAAAGAACAAAAAAAAAAAAACAAAAATTTAGCACAAATTTTACAACAATTGATTTATTTTATGCATTCAAATGGAAAAATAATAAAAATTTTGAATATATAGAAAATTTCTCTAAACGATTGTTACAAGTTTTGCAATAATTTTGTTTTTTTTTTTTTTGATATTTTTTCTATATTTTTCTTTTAAACAATAATATTAAAAATTTTCTTATTTGTCTGTTTTGTTAAAGATTTTTTATTTTGAATAATTTTTGTCCTATATATTTGAATAGTTTGTCCTCATTTTAAATTTTTATATAAGAAATAAAATAATATCGGCACAAATTGGTGATGATAATGATAAGCTAATCTCTAATCATTTTGTATTTTCTTTATAATGTTCGTTTAATACAGTAACAATGGAATTTTGTTTAGAATTTAAAGACGGAGAGCTTATCATTAAAATATTTGTTTTAAAATATTTGATTCAGGTTTAGTAATTTATTATAACACTCATAACCCATATTTAATAATTTATAAATTTGAATACAGATATAAGATTACATTAAACAATATTTCAATTCAGAAAACTATTCTAAAAGCAAAAATATTCTAAAATAATTTTGACTCTAAAAACCTATTAAAAATAAATTAGCAAGAAGAGGATTAATGTTAAGAGAATGCTGTTTAAAATTAACATTATATTTCTGTTAAATGTGTATGTAAAAGTCATTAAATGCTGTTTTGAAAAAAAAAAAATTATTAAGAAGGTTTTTCAATACAAAACTTGAATTAATTCTATGTATAGTAGTAAAATTTGGATTGTAATATTTATTTCTGCTTGTGTTTCCAAAATAAACTCTCTAAACTCTTTCAATTAAACTCTCTCTCTGAAAACGTTTGAACTGAAATCGATTAAATTTTATGGAAATAATTTTAATAACAATGTCAGTGCCATTTATTTCAGTGAACATATTTTTTTTTAAATTTTTCGTAAATCTATGTAAACTATTCATGAAATTTCTTTTAAATCTAAAAAAATTATTGTTTGCTAAATATTTCATTTTCATTTCTCATTTCTATAACATAGATAAGCATAAATATAATCAAATATTTTCAAAAAAAAATATCAACTTCAAAATAATTTTAACTAAAAGTAAATTTAAATTTGGAATTGAATTTGAAAACTCAAAAAACCTTAACAAATATTTATAAAACAAATAAAATAATATATATATATATATATATATATATATATATATATGATATATATATAAAACAGGCAAAAATTAATATTAAAAAAAAACCAAAAAAAAGGAAACAGCACCTACAAAATCATCTAAATTAAATATGAATAAAAGATACCTTCTTCAAAAATTTATAGAAAAACCGACAATATAATGTCAACATAAATATCTTTTATATTGTATACCAGTCATATATGTATATACTATTTTAATATGCTTCATCCTTTATCCCGCCGGATGATAACTTTTGAAATCACAAAGAATTTTAAGTTGTATAAAAAGAAAAAAATCAAAAGTGAATTTTTTTTTTCTTTTTCTTCATTTTTAATAACAAGTCATCGTTCCAACTCCAATGTTTTCAAATTCAATTTCAGTTTCTTTTTCACAATAATATTAATAAGTATAAATTCGTCTCATCTCCTCTTGTTTCTTCTACATTACTATCTCTTTCTTTTCCCTGTTTCTAATTCTGCCTACATTTCTCTCTGAATTAAAATGTATAATTGTATTTCATACAATCATACATATATTGTATGGGAGATGTATTATACAATGAATCCGTGCATATTTTAATATATATATATATATATTTTTTATTTTCTTCCTAAACTTTTTTGTCATATAAATAAATCGCATGAACATGAGATGAATTACAAAAAAAAAAAAAATATTTTTAACTTTTTTTTGACATACAAATATGTACATATACACATATCTATATAGATTGGTGTACTTCTTGATTTCATTCTTCTCATTATTCCTAATAATATAGTTTTGTAGTTGTAGTCACGTAACACTTTTATTGCATACAACTTTTACAAAGAGAACCCTTAAAAAAAAAAATGAGCATCTCATGCTCATATCCATAAAAAATAATAAGAGTTACCTTTGCGTTTTTCAAACTAATATAGCAAAAAAAAATTTTTTTTTCTTTAATGATAGATTTGTGTCTTAAATGAACTGAAGAGTTGTAATAATAACACTTTTAATGAAACTTGACAGTTTTTCCGCTCTATACTCCTATATAGAATAAACCGATTGTATGTAATTTAGAAACGAATACAAAAAGAAAGACATTAATACTTTAGTTATTTTGTTTTCCTTCAAAAGACTTGTATTTTTGCATGAAGAAGATTTAAAAAAAATATGTGCCTACATAAACATGTAAATATGTACATGTATTTATGTTATATATCAGTGATTCTCAAAATAGGAGATCGCGACCACGAGTATGATCGGAGACAGTATATAAAAATGGTTGCGTTACAATGAAAAATTAAAAGATTAAGAGTAGGTAAATTGATTAAGGAGCATGAATAACTTTAAATCCGATAAGACTTAAAATCTATATATAAAATGTAAATATATATAATTAGTATATTGTATGTATTGCAATAAAATCAATTTGAACTAAATATTTTAGTTTTAAATCTTAATTAATGTATCTAGTACTTGAATAACTTTTTGTTTTTAATAGTTTATATATATATGAATATATATATATGTATATATATATATATATATATATTATATTATATATATATATATATATTATATATATATTAATATATATATATATATATATATATTATTATGATATATTAATATAATTATTAATATAATAATATACATACGAGTATATGTATATATATTTATTTATATATATGTATATATATATATATAATATATAAACTATATATATATACATATATATATATATATATATATATATATATATATATATATAATATATATATATATATATATTATTATGATATATTAATATAATTATTAATATAATAATATACATACGAGTATATGTATATATATTTATTTATATATATGTATATATATATATATATATATATATATATATATATATATATATATATATATATATATATAAAACACTTTTAATAGTACTAAATAATAACGTAAAAATTTGAAAGCGGACATTTCACAAGATCATTGCCCTTAACTTTTAATGGTCGCCTTGTCAATGATTTTAAGAAACACTGCTATATATAATGCTCTCTTATAATTTATAATACAAGTTCAAATTGAAATTCATCTTTGAGTGGAAATTATTTTTTGAATTATTATGCACACTTTTCTGATTTTTCATAAAAACTTGAACAATGAGAATGAATATAGGAATGCACAAATTTATTACATATGTATACATACATACATTTATATTATAGATATGCAAATGTAAAGGAAACAAAATTTGCGAAGGTTCACATGTTACTTTAATTAAAATACCATATTGAAAATCTTATCTTATCACTATTAAATTGTTGCACCAAAGTTGTATAGACATATATATATATATATATATATATATATTTATGTGCATAGCATATTTATAGTATTATAGAAATTTTTAAATATCTTAAAAATTAAAAAATATTGGTCAGTGGTATTTGTCTGTTCATCATGGGACAATTTAGGTTACCAATAAAATTTAAAAAAAATTTTCATTAATAAAATTTTATAACAAATTTAATGTTAAAATTACTTACCATACAATGCATTCCAAATTGATTTTACAAATAAATATACAAACATGTATATTCATATATAACATTCTGATAAATCGTTGAAATTTTATGTTGAAATTTTATATAACATTTAAAATGTTCTTATATATTTTAAAATTCAATTGTTCGAAATTTCAAATTAATCACATGATTTAACTGTATACATTGATTTTAAACTGAATATTTTATTTTACATAGGCATGTAAATGTGGTTACTTAAATATAAATGTTGTGTGTTAAAAATCAAAGAGACGTGCAATAATTCTCAAATATGGTGAATTGAATATTAATTATTTATATTCCCTTCTCTGATGTTCGAATCTATTGTATGAATGCATAAAAACAAGTATAAGGTTGGAAATTAAATATTTTTGTTAAAATAATCAATAATTTTGTTTCGTTTATGAAAAATAATAGAAAAAATTATAAAGTAAAAATTTTTAATTATAAATGATTATGTAGAGTTCTCCACTTGAATCTTTTGTAAAGTAATACGTATATGAAATATTTAGATTTAATTTCTGAAAACAATTTTGAAATAATTTGACAAAACATATAGATTGGTAAACACTAAGTAATTAGAAAAAAAAATTCAATAAATCAATGATTTTAAGTTTTGCAAGAGTTTTTAAACAATTTTATTAATCAAAAATGTTTTTACTTTATAGCCATTAATTTACTCTAGTTCAATCTAGGTTTCTATCTTTAACCCCATACTTGTCAGTCAGATTTGAATTGAAACTTATTGAGCAATAATTTCAATTTATATTTTAAAAATTTGTTTGAATTTTTATTATTCATATCTTGGCTTATTAGCCAATTAAATTAAAAATAATTATAAATGATTTTTTTTTTTAATTTTTACAGCGCAACGTATAACAACAATACAGTTAGATGGTGTTCAATATTTTATCAGTCGAATGAATCCATATTCACCGGAATTAAATTATTTCTTAGCATATCAATATTGTCGATCATTGGGATTACAATTGGCATCATTTGAAACAAAAGAAAAAGTTGAATCAATGACACAATATTTACAAAATGCTGGCTATAGTAAATATGATTTTTGGACATCTGGTAATCGTTTAGGTACCGGTATGTTCTTATGGATGAGCACTGGTTTACCATTTAATGCAACATTCGATTATTTTGAAAATTCATCTGATGCAATACAAGCTGGTCTTTTAGATCCAATTGATCATAATAGTAATACAGCACCACAAAGAACAGCAAGAGATAGGTCAGTTAGGTATAATTTTATTTTTTTTTGTTTTATTATATTTTTTTTTAATTAATTATATATAATATATTTAAAATTATTTAATATATTTAATTTATTAAATTACAATATATTTTTTGTTTTTGTTTTTTTTACATATACATTTTAAAAATTTACAGTAGCAGCGGTATGGAAAAAGGTTGTGTTATACTTAAAGCACCAAGTTTAAAATGGATGCCAGAAGATTGTTCAATTGTTAAAGATTTCATTTGTGAACAAACTAGATGTTATTATTATAACTATGGCAGTATTCCAGTATCATCAGCGCAGGGGTAAAACATTAAAGAACAATAAAAACACATGAAACAAAATAATAAGAAATTTATATAAAAATAAAAATAAAAATCCTACTTTAATAATTAAAATTATAATAACAAAAGAAAATTAATAAGAAAACTGTTAAATACGATTTCAAAAGCAATACAAATTAAATTCAAAATAATAATTTAAAAAAAAAAAAATAACAAGACATTAATTATAAATAATTAAATAAAAAAAAAAAAATAATTATTAAGTCACACACACACATTAAATTTTTTTACGATTAAAAATTAAATCTCGAAAAGAAAATTCTAAACACGTATCCTATATGTAGCCAAAATAAGACTTAAAGAATAAAAAAGAAATTTAGGTGAGCAAACCCCAAATTCAACAAAACAAAAAAAAATTATCCACCATTTTTTTTTTCTTAGCAAATAAATTGTATATTAAATTTTATTTTTATTTCAAAAAAAAAAATTAACATTAAATTATTTTAATTTTTTTTTTTTTTATTTTATGGGACTGATTATTGTAAACTAACATTAATTATTTAATGATAATGAGATTTCAATTAAGTGTAGCTGGTATTTTAAGCATCTGACATTGAAAAAAAACTTAAAAAATTCACAAAATATTTACATTAAATTGTTCTATCAAGAATTACTCGAATATTTAATTATGAATTATTGATTTTTTAGGCCTCGAAAGTGATTAATCTTGAATTTAATAATTACAACAAAAATTTCTTCAATGACATTTAAATGTGTCAATAATTTACGAAAAACAATTTTTTTTCGTATACTAATGTTAGAGAAACTTAAATAAATAATGGCATTTTATCAAAATTTTATTATATTAAATAGTTTTTCAAAAAAAGATCCAACAATTGTTAATTGTTAAGAAAAATTAATATAATAATGTTGTATTAAGTCAATACATAAACACGAGTCTATGGTAATTAAAATATTTGAACAAAAAATTTAATAAAATATTGCCACATTAATTATAGAATTTCTATATGAAAATATTTATTTATATTAACATTAATTCCAATTAATTATTTCACTCCTTTTAAATATTCCACTTAATTAATGTTAATTCTTATTAACATTAATTATTTATTTGTATTAATATTAAATTTAAAATTAATTCCATATCTAATTTTATTCGTAACCTTAAATTGAAATTTACTTTCAAATAAAGAATGTCAAACAATAAAAACGATTAAAGAAAATATATTCATCTGGCAATACTAAATTTATTTAAATGTCATTTTAATTTCAACTCATTGTTATTATTTTACAATCCATATTTATTATTTCAATATAACAGTTTTAATAGTTTTTTTTCTAAAAATTAAACAATTAATTAAATATTTCAACATGATTTAAGTCAGATCGATTACTAATAACTTAAGAGCTACTAAAATTTTTCTAGCTGAAATATTTTACTCACATTATGTTAATCTTTAAAATAAACATATACATACAAACATACATAAATCTCTTTTTTTTATATCTCTTTGGTGAATTGAAATAATTTTTGTTCTCCTTATTATTTACTGTCACTATGTGTCGTGCTAACTCCTAGACCTCAAATTACATACATATAATTATACGCATGCCAATGGGAATAATAATAATTATTTTAGAATATTAATTAAATATTTTGATTTAAATGAATACAAAAAAAAAAAAAAACAAAAAGAAAAATTTTAAAATATCTTGCAACACCATTTATTTTATAAAATTTTCATGTAATTGGTGGTTTGGGGTTAGCTTTTTTCTAATATTCTTTTTTATTATATTTGTTTAATCTATGTTGGTTTTTTTTTTTAGTTTTACTTATTGCTTGAATATTTTACATATATATATATACATGCATACATATGTATATAATTTATATAAAACAAGTTTAAGTTAATAAAAATTAAAATGTATTGATGAAATTATCATTAATCTTGTCATTTTAATGTCAAGTTGAAAAATCGTTAATGTCATATAAATTTTACACTGTATACATACATAAATATTAGTTTGCAACAGAAGAAGCATCTAATTAAATATTTTCTTATCTTTTTTTTTTCAATTTTATTACATGCCATTATTTAGACGTCCAATTACATCAACAACAACTAGTAACCCATCAATGTTTACATTTACAACAACAACCCCGTTACCACAATTAATGACATCTACTTATGCAAATTTAGCAAAAGCCCAATATAGAATGCAACAACAATCTTTAAATGAACCATCAAAAGTTGATATTTCTGAACCATCATTGGCAAGCCTTAAAATGGATCATGAACATGATTTAGACATTAATGATGATAGTGATGATATTGATGATGTTGATACAAGTGATGTTGGAAGTCATATTTATGATGAATCAAAACATAATAAACAATCATCATCAACATCAGTTATTCATCATCATGGTGTACCAGAAACAAGAGAATTACCAGTACATAATGATGTTGATGAACATAATAATGAAGAATCTGAACATGATATAATGCATATTCCAGATAATGAAGAAGAAACAGAAGAAGAAGAAATGGAAGAAGGTGGTGGTGGTGAAGAAGATGATGCACGTCATTTACATAATAATCCAGCTGAAAATGAAAATATAAATGATGAAAAACAACAACATTTAGATACAGTTCAAACTTCACATTCTGATGATAAACAACAACAGCAACAACAACAACAACAACAACAAGTATCAAGTACAGATTCAGAATTACCATCAGTTGAACAACGTTTAAAACAAATTTCACAAGAAATTGAAAAATTAGGTAGCAGTGAAGTTAATAATGATAGCGATTTAGGACGTCAAAGTTTTCTATCACTTTCTGATTTATTGAGAACATTACGTCCAAATGATAAAAAAATACCACAAATCGATTCAGATTATTCGAATACAATGAGAGTTTTAGGTGAAAGTTCATCGTTAGTTCGAAAACAAAATTCAAAAAAATAAATGAGAAAAATTTTTGAAAAGTTTTTTTTTTTTTTTAATTATTAGTTTTTAAAAAATATAAAAAAGAAAAAAGAAAAACGTTCGAATATACGAACGTATGCGATGATCGTAATAAAAATATTATACGATTTTTTGTAGATGCTACAAAATTTATTTACACAAATTACAAAATAATATAAGATTTTTTTTATAATAATGAACACATTTTAAATAAAACTCACAAAAGGTTTAACGTAACAGTTTGCATAATTCTTAATTACACATTCATTACAAAATTTTAATACAAAACAAAGAAAGAAAATTATTAAATTCACTCATCTTCAAAATACACTCATTCAATTCATTTACACTTCAAAAAACAAAATGGAAAGAGAATTTAGTTCATTAGTGGGAATGATTTAAAAAAAAATATACATAAATAGTTTACTAAATTAATTAAATGAGTCAATTGAATGCATAAATTTCTCGAATTGATTAAAATATTTAATTATACATTTTTTGTACTCGAAATATTTTGAGTAATTATTTTTAATATAAATTACTCTTTTTGAATCGAAAATGTTTTTTTCTTTTCAATATGCAAGTACTTTAATATTTTAAACAATTCAATTCATTTTAAAATTATAATTCATTCATTTGATTCATTTGATGAACACAAATTTTTATTAATATTCATTATGAATTCACTTAAAAATACTCTCTCAATATTGTATCGAATTCATAATGAATACAAAATAAATTAATCACTTCTCTTTTGAACTTTTTTTCTCTTTTTTTTTTTTTTGTTGTTGTTCATTTCATTCACATTTCATAAAATAAATAAAAAATAATAAAACGAATGAACTTTTATCTACCCACCAAAATATTTTTATGCAATTCACTCATATTTATACTTTTTAAATATAGAACAAGAAAAAAAAAAACTCAAAGAAAGGTGATTGGGTTATTTTATGGGCTTTTAAAATTTATACACACAAACAAACAAAAATTTTGGAAATTTTTGTTATTTTTCAATTTTTGAAAAATTTTATTGAAAATTTTTCCAATATGATTTTTATTTTTATATGAAAATTAAAGAGTATTGAAAATAATTAAATTTCTTTTCTATTTTTAAAAAATAAATTAATAAATAACAAAAAATACACATACATAACTATATATATATATATATATACAAATGTAGTAAGTTTTATAAAATAAATTGTTTGTAATTTTAAATAAATAATAATAAAAATTTATAAATTTAGTATATTTACCTCTGAACAAGGTAATTATAATTACCTATACATATAAAATATATAATATTAAAAATTAATTAATTTTGTAATTGAGAAATTTTATATTTAAAAATTAAAATGAAAGAAAAAAAAAATTAATTTTTATAAGGATATTTTTTCACTTTAAAAATATTTAAAAAAAAAAAACAAAAAACCAGGCAACATTTGTCGTATATAAGGATCTACAATAATATAATTTAGAAACAAGAACAAAATAAAATAAAAATTTAATTGTAATAAAATTGAGAAAAACAAAAAAAAAATAAAAAGTAAATTTGATTTAAAAATTTTATATTTCTTTTATTTAGCAATTTCAAATAGCAATAAGGTGACCATATTTAATTTACTATAGTTGAAAATTGCCCCTCCTTCAATATAACAGTGAGTTATGTAATTAATTCATCAGTTTTGGTAATCTCAAAATCCGAAAGAAATTAATTTCGAATTTTTGATTCTAGATTGATAACTGTTAAATCTCAACAGGATTTTAAGAAATCCTTACGTTTAGAACATCTTAAGCTTTCAAGCAAAAATACATATATACGCAAGACCGATTATAATATAAACACCTACTAAATACTCTAAATAAATTTCGAGTATTTAAATACAAATTTTTAAAATTTATTGAGAAAACTTTCAGAGACATCTGTACGTCAAATTTAATAATCTAATAATTTATTATTAAACATTTCACATAAACAAAATACAAATTTTTAAAATTTATTGAGAAAACTTTCAGAGACATCTATACGTCAAATTTAATAATCTAATAATTTATTATTAAACATTTCGCAAATATTAGAAAACAGATGTCACTAAATAAGTTAAATTTAATTTAAAATTTTAAACTCAAATATCTTACAACTATCTTTTTTTTTTTCTTTATATCCGCCGAAATATATGCAATTATTTTCATACTTTATCTAGACTTTATATAAATTTTTTATGATTTACGGTCAGTTCCTATAAAAATGCTTGTATTAAAATTTAATAGGAAGAATGATATTTTTGTGTGAAGTGACCAAATCTCTCCTGTATTATGTAAATGAATACAAATGGAATGACTACGAATGAAATTTTTAGTTATGAATTTTTAATAAAAATGATAACCTAATAAAAAAAAAAAACAAACATAATTTTAGGCGAAACACAAATTAATTTTCTTTTTTCTTTCTAAATTTTTTATTCATATTTTTTTTTTTTTTTATACTAAAACAACTTGTCTATGATCAGTTCTATAATTTATTGGGCTCATATCTTGTATATATTCAATTGCAGCTAAATAATCTGTCCAATTAGACATAATTTCAGCTTCTTCAAGTGGATTTGAATTACTATTCCATATATATTGATCACCACCAGTAAACAAAAATTTCGTAAACATAACTTTATAATTTTTATCTAATCTTATTGGATGATAAGTTTCTCCATAACATTCAGAGCAACGAACTTTTACATTAAGAAGTCGTCTTCCAACTGGTAAACTCATATTATATGTTACACGAATACCAGAAAATTGTAAATAACCACCATCTTCTTCAGCATCATAAAATGAAGCAGAATGTTGAAGTGCATTGACAAGTGTTTGTCCGGTAATCGTTGCAATTACAAGTGTATTATTAAATGGTATTGCAGTTAAAATATCAAGTTTAGAAACATTACCCCTTGGAATGGAAGCTTTAATTCCTAAAAATTCAAAAAAAAAAATGTAATTATTTTGAAAATAAGATACATTAGCAAAAAAAAGCGAATATTGAAATTAAAATTAACCTCCTGCTTGTATTATAGAAATGAAAACATCTGAACGTCGATATTTTTCCTTCAATTCTTTTTCACGTACATATAACATTGCTTCACAAATTAAATCTCCAAAATTACATTCATTTCTACGACATGCTGCTTTAGTTCCATTTAAATTATTCATAGTTTGTCCAATACTTTCAGTAAGAACAAGTAAACCTGGTCTATATTCTTCTAATAAATCTAAAACATCATTATCTTGTGGTACAGAATAATCTAACAATATTGGATTTCCATTCCATTCAATTAAATTTCCATTTTTATCAAACTATTAAAAAACAAAAATTATTAAACCTACATCGACATCATATATTACCAAAAAGAAAAAAAAAAAAATTTACAGTAACTTCAAGATGTCCTAAATATTTTGTGTATGCATAAGCTTGTACAACTGGAACTCTTTTTCCGGTTCCATGTTGTTTAACAACAATCGGATATGTATCAAATGGACGATCTGAATCTGGTTGATTTCCTTTATATAAAAATGTATGTGTATGTGCCCCAACAACAATATCTACTTCGGGGCAATGCTTTGCTATTTGTTTATCCACTTGAATACCAGAATGTCCTAAAGCTATTATAATATTTACACCTTCATTTCTCAAATTTTCAGCTTCTTTACTAAAAAAAAAGAAGAAAAATAATTTATCTTATATTTTTAATAATTTATTTTTATTTTTTTAAATTTGTATATATACTTAATTGCATCAATTTCCGGTAATATTTTAACTTTACCAACAGATGCCTGAAACATTGTCTCTGGTGTAACATAACCAATTATACCAATTCGATGTGATGCCAATTCAAGTATAATTGAATTATGTAAATTTTTAATATTTTGCATTTTTGGTTCATTCGATAAATCTAAATTGCTAACAACAACTGGAGTATTCAGTGATTTTATATATTTTGCAAGATTTTTTACACCCAAATCAAATTCATGATTACCAAGTGTCTACATAAAAAGAATACTATTAAAAATTTAATTCTACATATTTCATATTTATTAAAATTTATACTTACAACAGCATCTGGTTCCAAAAGATTTAAAAATTTACTTGAGATTTCATGTTTGTATATGGCAAACCATGGTGTTCCCGTAAAAGTATCACCAGCATTTAAATATAAAATTGGTTTTCCATGAGGATTTTTTGCTTTTTCACGATATTCTCGTATCCTATATAGTTTGTATAACAAAATAAAATTATAAATATTAAAAATTCTACTAAATTTTATTAAATAATTTATTAAATATATACGATAAGATTATTCATATCATATACGACATATATTTTGTCATATATACGACAAAATTATTATGTTTCGGAAATAAAAATATCCCCGGATTTAATATTAATGATTGAGTATTAATCAGTAAGTAAACAAATCTTTAATACTTATTTCAATTTAAAATACTATATTATCAAGAGTGTAAGTTCGAGGTCATAATAAGGTAATAAAAATAATACACTGTGTCTATACCTACATATACGTTATACATATTTATAACAAAAATTTTATAATTTATACTTTTACTTTCAAACACAATTTAGAATTTATTAAATAAAAACTATTCGAAATATAAGGGAAGACATTGATCTTTCTAAAATCCTATGCTTAATAATAATATCTAAACATTTATTAAATCTACCCCGAATGTACGAGTATGAACCAGATGAAAATAAAATTCAATAGTTACACAATTGAATCACTTCTTTAACATGACAACAAATTTAAACGTTCTCAGGTCATTATTTCTTTATTCTTTCTTAATGAGATAAATTGAAATTAATTTTAAGACTTAACAGGGTGGTACAATTGTAAATGCTACAAAATTAATTAAATTTTGATTTTGAAAAAAATTTTTGCCTATTTATGGAAGATTTTAAGGGGGAAACCCTTTAAAATTTTTAAGAATTTTTTTTTTTTAGATTCCACCAACCCTTCATTTTACGATAAAGCATAATCAAATGATGCATTTTTATTTTTCTTGAAATATAACGGTAAATTATCGAAACTCAGAAGGATATTAAAAAATTACTCATATCTTTAAAAGAAAATTTATCTTCATCTTTTCTCAACCGCATGCGTCAATGAAAGTATTTCCAAATTAATGAAATTTTAATTTTTGGCAACTCGTTTTTCTGAAAGCTTATTTAAATAACGGTATATAGGGCTTATCTAATTTAAAGGTAAGACTAAGGCTAAGTAACGGTCAATTTTTCTGTTATCAAATTAACCGTAAATAAATATTTTTTTTTCTAATTTTATTCTTATCCTTGTAAGGTATGCTGTTATAATGGTATACTAGCATGGCATTAAAAATCAATTTTTTGACTTGTGAATTTTCTAATTTTCAAACTAGTTAATTGACCCTTAAATTTTTTAATTAATTTATATATTAAATACAAAATCTCCTTACATCTTCTTCTCTATTCAATCTTTTATTCTAGAGAATTAAATACCTTAGATCTTGCTAAATTTTTTTCTGGCTAAATTTCTTTTATTTAGTTTTTTTATATTTTTTTTTTTTTGAGAAAGGTCGCTAAAATTATTATAAAAATTAATAATTTTAGACTGTCATATTATAATAAACATATGTTTGTGTATATATATTTATGTATATTGTATACGAATTTATTCTTATTATGATTAAATTTATATAGAATAAAAATAAAATAAAAAAAAATAAAAAAATTACTCAGCTGGACTCTTTGCACATACAAGTACATCATTATAATTGTAAAGATGAAACATTATATTTATTTTATATACGAGTATGTACAGTGTTTGCTAACATATAAGCTTAGTTATATATTTTATGAAATATTTATATTTTGAAAATTATTGATAAAATTTTAATATTTTCATTATATTGTATAAATATTTCAAGATCCTAACAAAATATATATGTATATATATATATATATATATTCTGTATAGAAGGCTGCATTACTATGTAGATTAAAATATATATACTTATATATAATAACAATATTTTTTTTTATATAGAAACTGACCTCAAGATTTTATAGACTGAGATAAAATTACGCATATACCTACTTATACAATAAAATATTATTGAATTATTTAAATAATATAGAGAAAGATTTTTTATTTTAGAAAAATATTTTCTAATAAAAATATGATATACAAAATAATAAATGTGATTTTATAAAAAAAAAAAACAAAATTTGTATTTTGGTCTTATCGGACCTTATGCTGTATATTGAATAGAGTAAGACATTATCCTATTATTAATATCCTAAATTACATATGATTTTCTATATAGGACAGCAATTAATGAAACTTATTAAGGTATGTAATTAGCTTTTATTTTAATTTTAATGATTATTGTGGCATTTTTAAATTTTATAGCGTACGCAACAACGAAATGTTAAAATGACCAGAATGATGAATAATAATGAAGGTGTATAACGGTTTGTTCCAACAATATCAACCCAAAATGATACTGAATTATTAAAACAACGTGTAGTTGTTTAATTAATAAGTATCGTGCCCATTTAAAAACAAATAGTATACGAGAAATGCGATTTTAAGAAAAAAGAGGCCGTCCCAAATTAAGATGAATAGACGGTATATAAAAAGACGCAGAAATTATCGATGTACGAAACTGGAAAATCTTATCGAAGGATAGATCGGCATGCAAGAAAAAGTTGCTGTAGGCGAAAACCCAAATAGGGTTGTTGATATGATGATCATTCCTATTGCACTAGTAATATTAACTCAATGGAAATTTCTTTATACAACTGCAGAACAGATGAATAACATAATCAAAGAAATGAGTTAAAAGGCAGAAAAAATTAAAAAAATTTTTCTCCTCGAACTGGACTCGAATCAGTGACCTACCGCTTTCTATAGACAGACGATCTAATATTTTCGTAATTCGCTCACAATATTGTATAGATAACCATGAACACCAGCTTCTTATGTTATTGAGTTTACTGAGTAGGTGATTGAGTTTACTGGGTAGCCTACCGTAGTTTTTATATTAAATATTTAAAGTTATTGATATTTATTATTTTATTTTGCTGATCATTTTAATATTGGATATTATTGAAATATGGCAATTAGTTAATATTAATTTGTTTTATTTTTATATGTAATGTTTAAATATATGTAGCTATATAATATTGAATATAATTTTTTTATATTGAACCGGAGGGACTAGATCAGACTGACCGGATCATCTACCAAAATGAATTTCTTAAATACAAATTAAAAATTCTTCCGTTATATACACACATTATGTACAAATACTCCGAATATTATATTTCAACATACACATATACATACATACATACATCTTTTTTTTTTTTAATTTCAAAAATGTAAATTCAATTTAATTATTAATTAATTTTAACACATACTTAATATTAAGTAATTAAAATTTAATTATTAAATTTATCTTACACATGAACTTGTCTAGCAAAACCACCAAAACATTGATTTGATTCTTTAAGATCTGGTGTACATGATTTTGTCATATTATAAATTTCTTCAAATCTTGCATGCATATCATTATTATGTAATAAAATAAATGAGAATTCATCATCATCATTATTTTTATGATTGTTGTTCTGTTGTTGATCTTCTGATATTAGAGTTTCATCCAATGGTGCTGATAATACTTGATTTTTATTAAAAATTGTAATTAAAACTATTAATAATATTGTAAATTTTATATTTGTAAACATTTCAAAATGATTAATTGAATTTTCTTTTTTAATTTTTAATATTGAAATTTTAATAATAAATTTTATTTCATTCACATTTGAATTATTTTAAATTTTTTTTTTTTTTTGGAATGTTCAATGTAAAAATAATGACAATATAAAAATAAAAAACTGAATAATTTTTTTTTGCTGTTTATTAAACCGATTACGAAAATAAAAAACAAAAAAAAAAAATTTTTTTTGTTATATAAAACCGCAATATTGACCGTATTTTTTAAACGACTTTCATCACTATCAAACTTATACTGAAACTGAATAAAATTCAACATATTGTATGATAAGCAAACAAAAAAAAAAAACAAATTTTAAATGTCACAATTCTCCACAATTGCAAAAAAAAATTCCCAACAGTGGCAGGCAAAAAGTAACGAAAATTAATTGCGAGAGTTTTTTATTGCGTGAAAGTTTTGAATTTTTTTCTCTTTTTTTTTTTCGTTGTTTTCTACTTTCCTCAAATATTGGTTTTTTTTGTTTGTTTTCCTTTCTTTCGATTTGAAGCCAGAATTGTAGTATCTGGCATTATATGAGTTTATGGAGAATTTAATTTTTAATAATTAAAACATTAAAAATATAAAATTTTTGCGAGATAAAATTATCTCTCAAAAATTGTATGTACAATAACACAAACGATCAGAAATGTCACTTTGTATACATGACTAATTCGTATTTGTATAAATAAATACGAACTTAAATTATGGAATTTTGAAGGGTTTTTTTTTTAAATTCTTCTTTCCATTAATTTTCGGCACAGATCAACTTACTTTTTTAGAACAAGCGTCACTCAAAAATAAGTTATTGTTTTATGTATTTTTATCTCAACTTATTTCAAAAGTATCAATAAGCGAAATGATGAAAAATTTTTTGAAATATATGACATGTTTACTTTACGTCACAAAAGAACTACAATATTTTTTCCGACTTTATTTTAATAATTAAATTTTTTTACTATTTTCGCGCTGCTTATAAATTTTACTACTTTTTTTTTTGTTCTTAAGGTAACCCTGTTTACGATTGATTTATATTAAAAGAGTAACTTTGATAACACATTCTTTATTTTAACAACTTTTTAAGATAATAATAAATAATAATTGTTTTACTTTGTATTTACGCTCATCAGCACTTGATATATGTATGTACGTATTAATTATTAATTAGCTCAATGTTTGTACGATTATAATGAAGAGAATTGTATTAATTTTAAGAGAATCAAGAATATTTAGAAAATTTATGTAAAATAATTTCTTAACTAATGGAGTTTGAATCCAAGTTACTAACTTTAAGAGTTGTTAAGCATTTCTACATATATACCTATATGTATATTTAACGTAATTATTTAAAATGGAACATATTTAAGTGATTAAGTAATAAAAATGTTTTTAAAAATTAATTATATAGTGCTTAAATTAAAGATTTCAAATACTTTTTCATTTTATTCTCTTAAGCATACAGGGGTGTTTCACATAAGGTGCCAAATAGTTTCAGTGATAATTCTTTAATCAATTTCCAGTAGAAAATTGTATATACTCGTGTATATACAGCTCGTGTATTTATACTCGTTTTCGAGCTATAGTCTGTTAAAAAAAAAGATACCAAATTCTTTCTGCATATCAATAAATGCTTATAACTTCGGAACCATGCGACATAGAATAACCATCAGGAGCTTGTTTTACATTCGATTGGTTCCTCTTCAATTTTGCTCTCTTATAATTAATTTGATATGAGCAATAGCTTTCGGGATAAAGATTATTATAGTCAAAATTTTTTTTTTAAAAACTCGAAATTTTTCGAAAATTGTTTACCCATATAACATATTTTCCTCTATTTCTGACAGTTTTACCAGTAAATGTTTTAAATGTGTTTTAAAAACATTCGAAAAATGCATATAGCTCACACACATTTCATACAAATTTCTTGTTATACAATCTAAACTAAAAAAATATTAAGTGTATGTTATATTTGTATAATAATAATAATTAACGGAAGTACATATGTATATACTATATTATTACATATGTATTACATTAAGTACATATGTATGTACTATATTCAAAAATATACTTAACTTTTACATCATTCATCAAAATGGTATTCAATGCGGTAAGTATAAGAATGAGCTTGTGAGTAATGTCAAATTTAAAGCGAAATAGTATCATACGTTCACCCAAAAAATTGAAATATGTGGGTACAATAATAATCCTTACATATATACATATATAAGTTTGGTATTTAAAATTAAAAACCATAAGAGCACACAAAAATTTTCATTGTTTTATAAAAAAAAAATAATTTAAAGCTTTTTTTTGCTAGCATTTGACCAAAAAACTAATCATATTGTTAAAATTATTCTCATTGTCGATTATTATTATCAAATCATTAATATAGGTTCTAGTTAAAAAATTGAAATTATTATTTTTATCAAAATTATTTTCGTTTTTGTTTTCATTACTAATTTAATTATACACATCAATTTTTTTTTTTGTGTAATTTAAATCAACAAATTAGTAAACTAAGTGATGTCTAACTAAAAAATTTTAGTAATTTTGCAATTTTTTAATTCAGAACAATTTTTAATAATTTAATTAACATTTTAGCAAAATTAATTAAGCGTTTCAATGAATTTTAAAAATTGTATTTTTTTTTTATTTTTCATTTATGTCCTAGGTTTTTATAATTATATTTAAAATTGTTTGGTAACTATAATCGTAAAAAGATCTGTACCATTTTATTAAGAAGAGTTAAGATATCAAATATATGCTTGTTATGAATTTTTTCGAATGGGAATTAAATGATTTTCTATTTTCTCCAAGAAATTCCATGAATTAATATCACATTAGTTAATTATCACAATTTTTATTCTCAGTCACAAGATAACCATAGAATGTTTCATATTTAAAAAAAAAATTTCATAAATACATATAGTATATACACAAGAATAATTAAATAATATTCATAAAAAAAAAACATTTTCATAATTTAAGATCATTTTGTTCTAATATTATCAAGAAGGCTCAGAAATGTTAAAAAAAATGTCTGATGTGGTCAGTACACAATCGATTACATATACCATTATATCAGTATAGATAGGAATCTGATTATATCATTATACGGTTCGGAATCCAAAAAATCGATTTAATACCAAAGTGATAAATTATCTAAAGTAAGTTTAAATTTAAATTTTCATTAAAATATGGTTCAGTCAAAACTGAGAAACACATAGTGCACAGACAGAAATTTTTCTAATAATTTTTCATTCTTGTTTCTTTAGCATATTGAAATACATATATTTCTCTTGAAAATTCAATATATAAAATTTGATGCCATCTGAAGACCTCTCTTTTTATTTTTAAGGTGCACCGCCGATACAAAAAATGTATAAACAACTACTAAATAGCAAGAATTAAAATTATGTACATATGTCGTTCAAATTATGCTCAAGTAGGTTAAATTGATGTAATAATGTGAATGTTAAATGAATTCATTAGTGAGAATAAAAAAAAATGATAAACAGAGCTAAAAAAGTATTTAACGAAACAACTAAATAACTATATAGAAAAATTAAAATTAACCATGCAAAAAATATTAAAAAGCTTAAGAAATCATGTTGTCATCTTTTTAAATTATAAAATTTTCATATTGTATGAATGATGTTTTTATACTTACTTGCAAAATATTTTGCAAAAATTTGTGACACAATTATTGTGCATCAAATAAAAAGAAAAATCCAATTTTTTTCAATGTTTTATTATGAATTATAATTATATACTTTTAGTGATTCCTTTTTAATCTTTAAATTGGAATCAAAGAATATTTATTTTGAACTCACTAAACAACATTTTTAAAAACATTGATAAACATTTAACAATTAATTAAAATATTAAAATATGAAAGCATCAAATATTATTTTAGTTTTCCTAAAACCAAATGTCTTCTCATGAAATCTTCCATGATAGGAATTTGTTTATTTCTAAAATTATGCATAATAAATATTAAAATTTAATTAAAATACAAATTATTTTATTTACCCTGTTGCCCTCCGAACAGAATCAATTGTTCTTTGCATAATTTGTTGCACTGAATATGAATCCCCATATTCTCTTATATAATGACAAAATGTATCAGTAAAAATACTACCGTGAGCTACACCCATTTCGGAAGTTGCATAACAGATCAATAAACGTTTTGGTATTACATTTCTATCAAATGGTGTTGACGCAGAAATACGTTCTGCATAAAATCCCGATTTACATGTATCGACAATAAATAGCTTTGGTATTTCACTTAAATACCTGTTACCTATAAATGGTAACATAACATGATCATACATACTTATATCTTTACCATCGGAAGTAACTATTGAACCACCTCGACCTCCATGACTACTAATGGCAAGAACGAAATACGAATATTTTCGAAAATCCCTTTTATTCACTTTAAAAATCAATTCATATGAAAAAAAATATATTTAAGAACTCATAACATAATTCATATATAATAACCATTATACTTACACTCATGTAGAATTTCGAATAGTTGATTCCTACTCAAATCTCTGTAATAATCTCTAACGCTAGCATTAAAACGATGAAAAGTACTTTGTAGAGTATGAATTTCATTTACCGATTCCGGTAAATTATTACAACCACCCGCAAAAGTGGAAAAATTGAATATAATTAACTTTCCTCGTCCCATTTAAAAATCTTCCGCGATGAAGTTTACTTTTAAAAATTTAATTTTACACTATTTTAATTCTGTATATTAGTTGTAAATATATAAGTATTTTAAATATATTAGTTTTTTAATAGATTTTAAAAATATCTGTGGAAAATATATTTACAGATAAGATAATCATAATATACTTTCTACAGTATTACCGTAATCATACATAGAACAATATGTCAGCGTACCAAAATTAATATGACTAAACACAAAGAATATTTATTGAATTAAGGAAAATAATAAGAAATTCCTTGTTTCTTTTCAAGCAATAATAATACAACATTTGTGTGCAGAAATTTGGTCTCATGTTAGTATTGGACAAATATTGATATTGCTTTACTTCTTAGCAATAACTGGTCTAACAAACTTTATGTTGTCTTATGTTACTGTTTTGTTAAAAAAACGATAATGCTACTTGTCAACCCGACCATCAAAATTGCTCTACTGCAATTGTATTAATACATATAATTCAGTTTATAAATTTTAATTGTTGCATCATTGCAACTCAAGCGTTTGCAATTGTTTTATTAATATTGTTCCCTTTTTTTCCTTTCAATTTTTTTATAATAAAGTTATTTACATTAAATTGAATTTGTTACTTTTATTATTTAATATTAATAACCTTGTACCGCCTATACAGGATTATAAGATTAAAAAATAATTTTTTATTAAAACACAATTAAACAAAATTAAATTGTTTTCTTAATGTTGTTCACCTGTTTATCTTGCATGGGGGGAGTAGATCGATATTTTTTTTAGATTATGTACGTATGTGCGTATAATAAAAATTACTAACATTGAAAGTTGTAATATACAATCATTTCTATTAATAGCAAAACAAAAAGATATTTTTGAGTGTTAATTCCATGAAAAAACTGTTCCATTTAGACATTTGTTTTATTACACAAAAGTTTAAAATCTATTATTTGGAATTTTGGAGTTTTCTTAAGAAATAAAGTAGCAAAAAAATAATTTATTGCTTAAAAAATCCACTTAAAAATAGCGTTATAAAACTCAATTTTAGCACATTTCCTGAGACATTGGAAGCGTCATTACTTTTATTTTGTATGTCAGTCTGTTCCGTTGTTTAAAAAACTTTTATATCCTCAAAATACAAAAATTAACTTTTATACATACTTTTTTTTTTCAAAAAAATTTTTTTTTTGCAAAAAAAATTTTTTTTTGTATTTCACTTTCTTTCAAGTTGCTTATTAATTCTATTAAATTAAATAAAGAACTAAAAGCAAATGTCAGGTTTTCGAATTAATCGTTTAAATTAACTGCTATATCAAATCGATTTTTCGGCAATTTTTGGAACAATTTTCTCTTTATAACAAATCGGATTCGTCTTAAATTCTTACGTTTTTATACGTATACATAAGTTTTTCTTTTTCTAGAGCGAAGTTTTTTATAACTCGAGCAAATATACTCTCCAAAATTTACAAAGTGTTAATTTTCGAACCCTATTTCTTCGACCCTGTGATCTGTATTTGACTATATTTGTATATTTGTACAAATTATTATTCTAAAACTTCTCTAGTTCATTAATTTATGCAAAATTACTTAATGGCAATAAGAGAATTTTTTCAATAGATCGTTTTTATTGCTTAAAACGGATTCTTTATATAGATAAAAATAACGTGGTTGAAATCTATAAAATAAAAAAATTTATGTTTATAAATCATGAATTTAAACCAAATAATTAAAAAAATAATATTTATTATAAACAAAAATTGTATTATACAAATAAATTAAAATATGTACATATAATTTTTGAATTTAATTAAAAAATAGCAAGTAGTAGATTTAAAGTGTTCATTTTAAGGAAGTTTTATCTTTTTATAAATTTGAAATCTATTATTCATACGAATCTTTAGATATTTTTTCATAACCTTCCCAATATAACATCGTGATACATAGTAGTACACAAATTAGGGATTTGAGAATCGCTGCAAATTATAAATAAAATATTATAGGAATTGAACTTATTAAAAACTTAATAATTTTGTTTGAAAAGATACATACCTGGTCAATTTCATTACTTTTTTTTTCGTTTCGGTCATAATATGTTGTAAAGACTTGCTATGACCCTCATGGTATAAATAATAGCAAAAAACTTCAGAAAAAATCGACTTATATATTTTCCCACCTTCATGAGTTGCATAAAATCGCATTGTATTCGTAAAATTAATATTATTTTCACTCGAACTAGTTCCAGAAATAGCAAATGAATTACCAAAACTTCCACGGTTCATGTTAATTATAAATAATTTCGGTTTATTTCTCAAAGTAACATTTTTTTGTAATTTTAATACTATACTAGTATTTAAATTGACGTATTTTCCATCACTAGTTTCAATATTATCGCCGCGATCACCTTTACTTGAAATTGTAACTACTACATATGAATAGTTTGAAAAATCTCTATTTTGATCTAAAACACCAAATACAATATAAAAATTATAAATTATTATTGTACACATTTATAATTATTTCAAAAGACACTTACATTCTTTCATTTTATTCTTTAGTTCATCCCTTGTAAGATCAAGGTATACTGATGAAACACTGGCACCAAATTTTTGAAAAGTATCATGATATCTTTTAACATCATCATTAAAATGGCTACCAAATTTTGGCATAGCAAAAATAATAACTTTTCCTCGACCCATTTTATTAGTAAAACAAAAAATATTTGCAGTTTAAAAAGTTTATTGATATTTTCAAAATGGGCAAAACTTTTGTACTAAAAATAGTTTATTTGCTTTGTCTAGTTTTATAATAGTATTTTTACAATAATCGGTATTTTCGTAATTGTGTGATAAGATTAAAACTTATATACCATAGATTTGCAGGAAAGAAATGATATTTTGAGAAACGAAAGCTTTATCGTGAGACTCCCAATAAACATGTATATCAGAAGAAGGTAGATACATACATAGATATCCAATCCAATCCAAATTAATCTATATAATATTAATATTGCATTAATAAAAGGGAAATTTTATTAAATGGACGTGGAAATGTGACATAAGGGAAAACTATGTTCGAATATAGTATAATGAAACAAATAAAATAAAAAAAAAAACAGTATGATTTTTAATATAATTTTTTTATTTTTAATTTATTTATTTTGTTATCCTTTTACTTTTGTGAATTATATAATAATCTTTTATTTAATTTAAATTATTATTACACTAATATTATGACAAAATTAACATGTTCTTATTTATAATTTGCTTTATTTGATTTAAGAAAATACGAAGGTTCTACAAATTTTATTACAATTTATATTTATTTAATATTATTAGTATATTTTTTTTTTCTTTTTTCATTATCATACTTTATAATAATTATATTCATTTACTAAATTAGTATATTTAATACGAGTAGTCAATGTAAAACAAAATAGCTTTACGAAAAACGCTGGCTAGAAGAAAATCAAAAAGAAGGATAACTAAGTTAATTTAATTACTTTTCTATCTACATACTAATAATAAAATGTTTTGAAAAACGGTTATTAAATTTTATAATTCAACTTTTTTTTTTAAACTAATAAAAATTATTAGTTATAAGTTTTAGAAATTGATATTTTTTTCCATAAATAAGAACCAACAACAGCCAAGTAATAATTTTATATATTTCATGTAACTATTTAAAATTAATTAATTAAAACAGCATTATTGAAATTCGAAAAATGGTATTCCACAAAAAATATGCAAGGTTTTTAAAATAAAAGTTAGGTATTTAAAAATAATTTAAAATTCAATTTCATAAAATGTACTTACTCTTTACCATAATATATTGTACATGTAGCCATTATTATAAAAACAAAATTAACATTTACATTTTAAGATTTTAGAGCTAATTTACAGTCAAAATTACATTAAAATTTGAAATGTAGTGTAAAAACATTAATTTACATTAAAAAAAGTCAAATTATTTTTTATAGTTTTTCATTTTTAAATATTTTTTTTTCTTCGTCAAATAAAAGTTAGCATGAAAAAATACATTCGGATTTGTGTTTTGAAAATTTTATGTGTACACCTTTTAAAATCAACTCTAATATAAAATCGTAATTTCATTTATCGTTTACAATTCAATTTTTAAGATTGATATATCACTTAGATTGCTGGAAATTGAAAAAAAAAAATGGGCACAAAATTTTATTTCAATTTTAAAATAATTTTGCGTGTTTACAACCCATAGTAAAGCAAGAACAAAACCATTTTTCATCAACACAATAAGGATGAAGCTTTTATTCAATTTTCAAAATCTGAAGAACCTTTTATAATAAAATAATTTTTTAAAATTTATATATGAATTTATGGCATTCTTATCTGTTTTAAAAAAGAGCACGCTTATGCGTTTTGTAAAAATTAAAATAATCTATTACTTTAATCAATTTCAAACTTCAATTTAAGGGCTAATATGTTTTGGTTTATACTTAAGTCTAAATTATCCATAAAAGGTTGAAAACTGTAATATGTGAAAAATCTATTGACTTGAATCTTTTGAATAAATAAAATCAAAGTTTTTATGAAATACAATACGATTTTATAAGAGAATTTTCAATAATTGTCTATGTACTTATGTTTTCCATTTAAGATTTTAATTTCCATTTTAACTTCTCCTGAATTCAAACTCTATATCTTTTTATAAGGTTGTTGGTACGGCGCATGTAATATAAATTATAATTTTTGAATAAAAACGAAAATTTTTCGGAAAAAAAAAGTGAAAATATGTTAATATAATTATTAAATAATAACGTATTTTCACTTCAATAACAAACTGATTAGTAACTTTAACAAGATTTCAATAGAAAATGAATTGAATAATATGTAGTCATAAATAGGTTTAATAACTCAAATAAAAAACTATTAACAAAATTATTGAAATACCGAAAAAAAATTCATACGTAATTTTAAAAAAAAATATTCAGCAGTTAAAAAAATAATTTCTTTACTATTAAGTTCATTTTGAACACATCATATTTTAATTTCTTCCTTCGTTTAAATATAAATATTAATTATTGTTTAAAAAAATGTATTTTGTTATCCTAAAATTTCATTTTTTCATAATAAATTTAATTTTAATTTTTTTTATTAATTTAATCGAATATCTTAAGGGATAATAATAAAAATGATATTATCATATAACAAAAACATTAAATATTATTAAACAAAACTTTGTTTTTACAAAAAAATTTCAAATATTTTAGTTAATTTTTTTTTCTTCTTTATTTCAATACGTTTACGTACTTATTCCTTTCGCATATAATTATTTTCCCGATAAATTTAATTCATGCTTTTTAAATTTATTTTTGCCATAAGTTTAACGCCTTTAAATAAATAAATCAAATATTTTTCTAATTTTGTAAATTACACAGATTAAGAGTAAAGAAAACTAGGTATTAAAAGTGAGGGAAATCAAACTTGCAGTTTTTTTTATAAAATATTAAAATTTAATTAGACCAAGTATCAGTAAGGCTCTTTCAAGAGCTTAATGACTAAAACTCTTCTTTGTGAAAAATTACCTATAATAAAAATTTTTCAGTATTAAAAATTGATGATTTTTTGTATGTAACATCATTACATGACCTGAATATTTTTATATTTTTAAGAACTAATTAACTAAAAAATTTGTTTAAAATTAAAAATGATTTGTGGAATCAATGCAATCATACTTAAAAATATTAATTTAACTTTTTATCTTCATACGTAAACGTTTGTAATGAATTAAAAAATATTTTGCTTTTATTTTTTTGTGATTTTCTTTATTACAATCTCTTATTATATGATGTATAATTACCTTAATTATAATTAATAATTATAACATAATTTATTATTTCTTTACATAATAATAAAAAAAAAAAAATAAACAAAAACTTGGATAGTAAATTTTGCTTATACTCTAAAAACTTTTTCCGTACTATTGTGTCGGGCTCAAACTAAAATGTTTGAACATAATCAGTTCTCTCAAATTTTGTGATTTTTTTTTATTTTCTTCTAATTTTCTAATTTATTTTAATTTAAATTTTTGTGTTTTTAGTTCAAATTTTATTATTTCTTTTCTATACCTATTTAACAGGTTTCTTTATTTAATTATTTTTTTTAATAATTATTAAATTAACGTTATTTTCATGAAGCGTACATTCTATTAATATCATGTTGATATCTTTCTTGAATATCTTTCCGTTTCAATTTAAATGCAGCTGTAACTAATCCCATATCTGGTGACCATACTTCTTTACATAATGTAATAGCAGCCGGGATTTCAAATTTATGTAGTTTGCCTAAAAGTAATAATTGAAATTTGTAAAAACAATAATCTTAAAATTTTTTATTTAATATAGCTATGTACGTATTCATAAAAATATTTAACGCTATCATGCAATATGAAATCACTTAACCGTATTTAGGTCTTTAAAATTGAGCTAATTTTAATAAAAAATTTAACAAGTAAAATTACAAAAGCAACTTCATGATTTTATAATTAAAGAAATCTGAACTAATAAATTCTGAATTAGTAAATTTTTTTGCTTCAGTAATAAAGCTTAAATAATTTACATACATTTTTTAGCATGTTCGGCAATCTCTTTGATAACTGCTTTCTCCATAATAGGTAATGAACATAAATCTTCAAATTTAGTAAATGTTATACCATTTCTTGTGGCAATTTCCTCTAAATGTTTTTGATTTGGTACAACTAAAGCGACACAAAATTGTTTTGTTGAATCACCATACACACAAATATTTTCAACCACTGGGCATGTTTTTAACTCAGCTTCAACTTTACCAAGTGAAATATATTCACCTGCTTGTAATTTAACTAAATCCTTTTTACGATCTTTAAAAATAGTTAAATTTAGGTTAAGTTAAAAAGAATAACATTTTTATGTATTTTCAAATTTTTACCAATGATTTTAAGTACTCCGTCAGGGTGAATTTCTCCAATATCTCCCGTTCTAAACCATTGTCTTCCATCTTCTTGGAAGAAATCATCTTTGGTTTTTTCTGGAAGCTTGTAATAACCTTGCGAAACACAATCCCCACCAATAACAACTTCACCCTATCAAAAAATATCAATTAGTTTTAATAATAATTAAAATTCAAGCAACTGAAAATACCTGTGGATATGGTTTATTTGTAACCCTGTAATTTCCTTCTTCCCAATTCACAAGTCTGATATCAGCAATAGTCAATGGTGCCCCTACTCTTCCAAATCCTAAATCTTGTTCTATATTTATAAAAAGCAAGGGGTGCATTATTTTCAGGAAAATTTTTGTTTAAAAAGAAATATTTACCCTCAGTTACAGTGGCAGCTGAAGTAGTTTCCGTTAATCCATAACCTTGAACAACATCAACGCATAAACAAATTTTAATTTGCTCATGTGTATCTGGAGATAATGGAGCACCGCCAGACATAAGCACACGAACACGTCCCCCCATCAATTTTGCTACCTTTTTAAATACTAGTCTAAAATTTGTTAAAATATTTTTTCTAATTAATTAAACAAAAGAGAAAAGCTTTAATTATCAAAATACCTATCAATTACTGGTGTTGTATAGCCTCGTGATAACCATTTTGCTTTATATTGATATAAAAATTGGAATAAAGCTTTACTAAATGGCGATTGCGCATTTACTTTATCATTAATTCCTTTTGAAATTCTGTCCAAAATTAACTAAACAAATAAAAGTTTTAAAATTAAATTGTTAATTTTTTTAACTTAGACAATAACTTACTGGTACTGTTGTCATACAAGTTGGCTTCAAGAGAGTAGCATCACCTTTGCATCCTTTCATAATTTTACTGCTGGTATCAATTAAAGTCAATGGAGTTGAGTAGCCAATAGCAACACCAGTTAGTAAACAAACACTTTCAGCAAGTAATTCAAACACATGTGCAAGTGGCAAGAATCTATAATAATAAAATAATAATAATAACAACAAAATCAAAATCGCAAAATTTTGCAACTTACCCAATCAGAAGATCGTCTGGTTCAATACGAACATTATCGCAAAATCCTTTCACAGTAGTAATACAATTTTTATGTGACAACAAAACCCCTTTTGGCGTACCAGTTGAACCAGATGTGTACATAATGATTGCAACGTCCTCAGATTTTGGAGACACACCCTCTACAATTTATTAATATTTATATGCATAAAATTTGTAAGTTAAATGAGCAAGAATTATTTACCGATTTTGCTTTCCGCTCCATTTTTAACAACATCAGAAAATGAAACAATTTTTACTCCTTCCTTAAATCCTGTTGTATCAGTTTTCTTCAATTGATCTTCCATATAAATAATTGTATTAACTTTTGTTACTTTATCCAATAAATGTTTAAATTTTGGTAACAAGTCATGTGTTGTAATAACACAATCTACTTCAGTTTCATTTATACAATGTGCAACACCATCATCACCTAATGTTGCATAAACAGTAACTATTGGAAGATTTTGTTTAAAACAACCATGTGCAGCAATCATCCATTCAGCGCGTGTTTCAGCAAATATAACAACATTTTTTCCAGGTTTTTGTCCAAGTTCACGTAATCCACGACCAAAATTTGTTGCCATTTTACCAGTTTCCATAAATGTTTTCCATTTATATTCACCCATTTTATATTTTTTGAATACACGTCCATTAGGTTGAAGTTCATCTTCTTCACTTAAAATTTGTCTAGTGCCCAAACATCGTTTATTTGAATGTAATTTTACACAATAATTAAACATTTTTTCAAGTGTATCAATGTTTGCCTGCAACATTTGAACATGAACAGAACGCGGTGGATCCGTTGAACGATATGTAATTTGAGTATCGTCTTGACTGGAAGCTTTTGCCTATTATGAAATTGAACAAATAACATTAATTTTTTATTTTTTTTTTTTGGTAAAACATTAATTAAAAATAAAAATTATGCACACCAAGAAAACCTGTGTTAGATAGGGGAAATTAAAGCATAATCTAATTCCTTTTATTATATTTAAACACTAATAGAAACTGTGGAGTTTATTGTGGTAAATTAAAAAATAATAATAAAGACGATTAAAGGTGCTTCTACACAGTCCAAAAAAAAAGAATTTATATCCCTGTTCATATAGAAAAAAGGACCTTTGGAAATTATATCAAGCCCTGTCAGTAAATCAAGAACACACATATAAGAACAAAGAAAGCTATACATATAAAACTTTACATTAGTAGTATTCAAGAATGAATTCCGCAACAAAAATTCCTGTACATTTGAGGTTAGTTTACAGTCATTAATAAAATTAAGTGACTTAAGAACAAAAATTCCTGTACATTTGAGGTTAGTTTACAGTCATTAATAAAATTAAGTGACTTTCCCTTATATTACAAAAAAAAATTAATATTAAAGATCAATTTTTTCTTTGAATAGCTTCGAATTTTGAGAATTCAATAGCTTCGAGTTTTAAGAGTTAATTTTAATACATTTTACCAATTATTCATTTAAAATATATTATTTAGTCTTAAAAAAATTAATATTTAGTTTTAAGTAGTTTTCGTATAATTTTAAAAAATCCAATTCGAAATAAATAAATTTTCTTAATTGAAATTTGAAAATTCTTAGGCCAATATTTTAGTAATTCAGATTGTCATTATCATGTAATTAATAAAAATAATAGTTTTAAAACGATTTAAATTATTCGAAATAAAAATTTTTCCCGAACTTATTTAAAAAAAATTTCTTAAACACAACATTGTATCAACTTATTTAAGAAGCTTTGATTGAAAAAGAAAACCAAACTAAAAATTAAAGAAAAAATAAACAAATTTAAACTGAAAAATTAAAATAGATTTTAAAAAATTATATTGAGTATGCAATTTGAAAAGGTACGAATAATCACCATGTCCATTTAATTTGTAATAATAAAAAATAATAATAACTAATATAAAAAAAAAAAAAAAATATAATCCAAAGCCCATAATGAAATTAAAATTAAATTATTTGCAAAATTTTATTTGTTTTTGCATTTGTGATCATATTTGGCTACATTTATTTCAACATTGTATTAAAATTTAAGTAAATATTAGTTTTTTACTAAATTAACCTAAAGGAATTAATTAATTTCTTAATTCTATGATTAAAAGATTACTTTTATATAAAAATTACATTTTAGAAAAACTTATTTTCCAAATACGGAAATATTTCCAATAACTTTTTTTTCCAAAGCCTATAAAACTATTAAAAATTTTGGACAATAAATTATGGGAACTTTTCAGTTTTAACAAAAATTAATATCATTGCTTCGAATTAAAAATTGAGGTAAAATACAAAGAAAAGAAAAAAGCTAATTGACATTATTTTCTAACTCTTAAAAGAAAAATACGCGGATTCACTTTGGAATTTTTCGATAATGTCAGACACGCACTGACATTTCGAAATTAAATTCTTAAAAGTCTTTTCACATATACTTACAAATCTTCAGATTTGTAACACATTCGCGTAATCTTTCAATATTCAAAATTTTTCTTTTATGCTGTTCTTCTAAATTATAATATTTTTGCAATAGTTATAAAAAAAACTTAAAATTTTTAACTATGGAACTTTAAGTACAACTGTTATTTTCGAACATACTGTTACTGGAGATTTTGCAATTTGGATTTATCAAAGATTCTTTATATTAAGACCAATGTTACAACTGAATTATGAAAAATCCACTTTCTTACAAAAATTAGCAAAACTTTTTTATAAAAATCATTTTTTATGTGATAGCAAAAATAGCATCTATGAACGTCAATAAATTATTCTAAATTTTCGAAAATAAAAAATTTAATTGCGATAATGTTAAAAAGAGAGGATAATCTATATACATACATATATAGCTGTCTTCAAGAAAATTTACATTTTCTGTTCATATTTTATAGTTGAAACTTTTATTCGATTCATTTTATTCGATTCTTTTATATTAAATTCGATCATTAATTAGTTTTTAAATTTAATCATAAAATGATTAATAAAATAAGGAGTTCTACCAAAATAATATTTTATATCCCGTAAAATTTATAGTATATACTTAAATTTTAATACTAAATCCCACAATAACCAAAATAAAATACAAGAAATAAGATTTTAAAAACAATTTCCAAAAATTAATAAAATTATCCATATACACATTACTTATGTACAATTATAAATTTGAACGTGTTATAAAAATATAAGTACAAAGAAATTTCTGTGTTCATTTTTGCATTTGGTTTTTCTAGAAAATTGCGTTTTTAAAGAAAAAAAAAAAATATTGTATTTTAACCTCTGGATCATTTGGATCATATTTGTATTTTTCTGCTGATTTATCTTTCACAGGTGCAGCCTGAATAAAAATAAAAAAAAAATATAAAAAATAATGTACAAAATCTAAAAATATTCAATTGATTTGATAAAACTTGTGTTTAATCTGATTCAATATTAATTAATTTTAAATTTTAATTAATAATTATTATTTAGACATTAATTTACGATTATCAGATTAAGAATCTATTCAAGGTATTGAAATAGAGTTATGAAAATAAATTCAAATTCTAGTAGATGATAGATGGCAGTCTGAAACGAGTAGGGAATACATTATCAGATGTGTGCCCGACTTAACTTTTGATTTAATTTTATAAATTGTCTTTAAAATTTACAATTTAGTCTCTTGATTTATTCAGATTTAAAACATCTGCGTCATATTATTACACCAGAATATTATAATCCTATTTAATATTAAACATTACCAGAATTAACTCAATACTCAAAATAAATTCTCAAACATTTTGAAAAAATTTCCTTTTTTTTTTTTGCGCTATTAGACTATAAAACCTACAATAGGTCGATACATAATGTTTAAGAACTATTATATTATAATTAAGCAAATTAGGAAAAAACAACAAAAAAAAAATTATTAAGGAAATTAAAAAAATATCAAATATATAAAAAAAACAATTCTTAAATAACAATTTAAAGCAAACAAAATAAAAACCTCTACATCATCTGCCTTATATTTATTTTCATCTGGTTTATCACGAAGACGTAAACCCTGTCATAAATGTAAAAAAAATACAAATAAACAAAACTGTATACAATTTTTTTTTTTTGTAAGAAAAACATATTAAAAAAAAATTTAACAATAATAATTGTTATTAGGGCACTCATACCTATTTAATATACGCTTTATAAAATGAAAAAAGCCATTGTTAAAATATCACTCAAAAAAATAGTAACTTTGAACTTTCAAATCTCAAGAAAATTATTCGGAACTTATAATAGGCAAATTTCGGAAAAATTATTTGGAAATTTAAGCAATCATACAAAAAAAAATAAAACAAATTTCCCCCAATTTTAGGGAAATTTTGAATTTTTTTTTGGTTTTCTGTTAATAATATTAAATTTTCAATGAAATTCTAAAATAAAAAAACAATTTGCATTCAAAATTAATAAATGTTACGGTTATAAAGCAAATAAGTGTAATAAATTTCCTATAATCACTAAGTTCTATAAATTCAATCCTTCCAGCATTAAAATCTATAATTTTTCTTTATATAAATGTGTAATAAATATTATATTTAGTACACCTAGTTAATTATAAACGCAAAAAAAAAATAAAAACGTGGTGGATTATAAAATTTTAAATGATACCGCGCCTTATCTTAAACTTAAAATTTCCTATGTCTTTTTTAATTCTATAAAGTTTTTTTTTATTAATACTAAAATCTTTTATCTTAAATTCAAAAATTAATTAAAAGCAAAAAAAAAATAATATAAGTACTTAGTAACTGTATTTATGTATACACATACCAGCAGGGGTACTAATAATAAAACTAAAAAAAAAACAAAATAGTTTGTTACTAGTTAAAATTCTCAATGAAAGGTATCAACCTTTGCCTATTAATTGAATTGGGTCTATAAATAATTTTTGATTAAAGTATTAAAGTATAATATTGTAAAGTAAATGATTAAAATTTGCAAAATATTAAATAAATAAATTTTGAAAATATTTCTAATAACACTTGTTAAATTATTAATTTTCACATTAATTATAAAATAAAAATTCTTCTTTTAAATCAAAAATGCAATTTCTTATATAAGTATATTAAGAATTTATAATTTCGATTACATAAAACTTTTTGTAATCCGCTTTAGCATTTAATTGATTTTTAAAATTTTTATCATGCTCGCAGTACAATTTTACAAGTACCTATTGAAATTATCATGATTCTCGTTATTAAAATGACATAGATGTACATATAATTACATAAGTCATAAAATTTAATTAAAAAACTACATTGACTATTCATATTTTAGAGAACTACTTAAAATTTCTAACTAAAGAACTGAAAAAATTTAAATTGAAAATACTTAATATCGTTGTAAAATTGAATACAATCTAAAAAGAAATAGGTAAATCTAGTTTAAAAATAAAATTTCTGATATTTGAGTTTAATCATATGGTATTACCGTCTCGAGGACCTTAAAGATAATTATATTTATAAAGAAGGAGAAAAAAAAACAAAAAATAAGTAAGCGTGCTAAAACAAATATTAGTTCACGAGTTAAGAAAATGAAAAATTAAATAAATATTTTTAAGTAAATATTTATATAAGTAAGTATAAAATTAATATCTAGTTCGTTTCTTATAGGATTAGTGACAAAAAAGAACAAAAAATATTATGAATAAGCATGATTAAAATAAATTTAATTTTTTCGAATAAATTTTAGAAGACACAACATTAAAATTAAATATTTATCGGATATTTATCGGATAGTCAAAATTTAATTTAAATAAAAAAAAAATTTTTAATAAATTCTTTTTTTCAAGTTTCTAGTGCAACTAAAAAAGAATTTTAACAAAATATTTTTGTCTTCTCTAATTTTACAATTATTTTAGTTACATATTGTTCTCAACATAAAACTTCCTTAAATTATACACTTATATTAGGAAGTTAAATTAAAATAAATAATAATAAAAAGGAAAATCAAGTAACTTAACAGGAATAGAATACAATTAATATACCTTAATTCTTCTTGATGCTTGTCTCCGTTTCCATGGTCTTTGTAATACCAAATATACAGGTAATGTTATTATATCGCATACAAATGCGAATACCTTAATTGCTCCGATTGCAGTTTGCACCCAAAAACTCTCCATCCTAAAATATAAAATAATAATAATAAAACTATTAAATTCAATTTTTTTTTTTTTTTTTTTGGAAAATAAAAAAAAATAATTAATAACAATTTTTTAACATTAAAATTGCAATAAAGAAATATAAAATTATTGTGTGAAATTATTAATTAAAATGCAACAATAATAATAATTATTGAGTATAAAAATTTTAAATTTAAAGTGAAATATAAAATATGTATTTAAAATATTTGAATTTATGAATAAGCAAAATAATTTTGAATAAAAGTGCTGATAAATTTAAAAAAAAAAAGCAAAACAAAGCAAAATCAAATAAAAATGTTATGATTCATTAAACAAAAAAAAAAAAAAATATTAAAATAAAATGCATTAAAATTATTAGATTTAATATGAAAGCTGAACCACAATTCAAAAAAAAAAAATATTGTAAGTAATAAATTATGATCATAAAAAATTGTTAAATAGTGTTTTACATAAGCCAACCATAGACAAAGAAACAAGCAATTTTACACTCTTTTTAAACTAATAATTACTTTATTTTTTATTTACTTATAATTTTTAATTATGCGGAAATAACGTGATTTAATTGTTTTAGTTAAATTAAATAAATAAAATTCCAAATATTTTCAATAATTTTTGAGTATTTGCATACAAAAATTAAAAGTTAAAACTTAAAAATTATTAATTGATTTGTACTATAATCAGAATTTTTACTTCTTCTTTATGAAAGAGTCAAATCAATACTGTGTACTTTAATTATTATTTCAATTAAATTTTAATAACATTTTGATGAAAATTATCAATAAAGTTTTATAATATAGATTATAATTATTGATTAAAATTTAAAAAGTGGATTTTAATCAGTATTTAAGAAAAGAAAACAAAAAAAAAATAGTAATATAATAATAATAAAGATTATCATTTGCAAAAGGTGCATACTTGTAAATTTTATGATTAAAATTTTCAATGTTACCATATTATACGAAACGAATTGCAAAAATCATAATATTTCAAATATTAAAATAATTAGGTATTGCCACATATATGATTTTAATTTTTGATGGAATTAATGTGCAGATAAAAATATAAGTATACTTATATATATATGGAGTAAATATGCGTTTACACAATAAAATTAGAAAGAGCTAGTCAAAATAAGAAATTTGAGAATATTGTAAATATGTTGTGATAGTTATCAATATTTCATATATGTATACTCGTATTATGTACTTATACGTCCATGAATATGAAGCTGATTTAAGATTTTTTTCAAATCACATACTTAAGTCAATATATTATTTATGTAAGTAATTGCTTCGATTACAAAAAAAAAATTAAAAATAGAACTATTTGAGCTTTTAAACTAAGAGTAAGTTAAAACATTTTAATACAAATACTCGTAATTTCATATAAGTATTTTGAAGAAATCAAAAGATTATTGAAGGTTGGTTTAACGGTAAATTAAAAAAAAATAAATAATTTGGTAAAATAATAGAGGAAAAGAGATAAATATATTGAAAGAGAAATAACTAAATATTATATAATATCGAAGATGAAGAAAAATTAATTCGAAGACCTTGAAATTTAAAGATTGGCTGCATAATTACCATTCCAAAATATTTTGGAAAATATAATGGAAATCATTCAACAAATTTTTTTTTTCTTTTTTTTTTGCTAAATGGTTAATATACCAATATTTCGTACAGGGTAAACTTTTAAGTAATTAATCATGTTTATATTTTGTTTATATTGATATATAACAATAAATACTAATTATTTATTTTTAAATAAATACTTAAATGAAAAAGTGAATGAAAAAATAATAATTAAGGAATAAAATTCATACTATTTTAAATGAAATTACGAGTACACATAAAATTTTACAAATATTTATTTTTATATATAAGTATATTTTATGTTCAGTAGTTACATAAATAAGTATTACTGAAGTACATTCTTATTTAAGCAAAAACATTGGATAAATATCTGGAAAAAAAATTGGAATAAAGATGACATCATCCCAATTATCGATAACTTAAAAGTTTATAATTTAAAATTTTGTTAAAAGTGCAAAAGAATTGATAATTCAATTTATAATTGAATAATTTCATTAGCAATACCTGTTGAATTCGCGAAATTAAAAGAATATCATTAAAAATTATTGTTGTAATAAATTAATTTTTCTAAAATTCTTAATTTTACAAAGCAATGTAAAATAAATTTAAAATGTGATTATAATTGCAAAAAGGTGTTTAAAATGGTAGAAAAATTAATATTGAAAATGTTATCTATATAAAAATTTTAAAATTCTGGTTTAAATAAGCTATATAAGAAGAAAAATTCTTTGTTATACATAACATTCTTATACATAACAATCACGTTACGTATCTTAAAAATATTGTACATTTTATATGACGTTTTAGCATTTAAAGTACTAGCTAAAGACTTTGAAAGCATTTGCTATATTACTTTGTTCAAGAAGACTTCAAAAATTTGTTAAATAAAATTCTAACTCTAACAGATTTAAATCGCAATCGAAAAAGCCCAAATTTAATAATTTCCATGTCCTGCTCATAATTAAAAATTTTATATATACAAATACATACGTATACATATTTTATTTAACAAGTTTTAACTATGAAATACAATAAAATTATTAGTTTTTGTTTTTTCTAAATAAAAAACATAATTACCATGTCTATAACACTGTCTCACACTTTTATTGCGACCATAATCAATTTAATCAAATGATACAAACTTTTCAATACTTATATACTTAATATGTATAATAATATTATGTACATTATATATGCACTTGTATTTAAAATACATATCTAATCTATATATAAAATTGATAATTGAGATTTCGAACAGGGCACAATCCAAACTCCAAAGTCACTAAACTTTAATACGGTCTCAATGAATTTGAATTAAAAAAAAAAGGCTGTTATCTATCAAGCTTTACATGTGTACGCAATTTTCGTTTTTTATGTAACATTTAAAGAGAATAAAGTTTAGTTTTTAAGACTAAGCAATACTTAAGTATATTTGCGATAAAGTGAATAAATGAAAGCAAAAAATTCATTTTTACCGGCAAAAAAAAAAAAAAAATTCATACTTTAATTGAATGCCACTGTTTAGTAACAATAAGGAAATCAAAAACAAGAAAACAAATTGAATATTGAAACTAAAAAGTTTTTTCTATATTAGAAAAAACTTTGACCCGTATGGTCTGACAAGCGACTAAACTTTTTTCATATTTTCTTTTTGAGTACTAAAACTTATTATCGTTGCAAAAAAAAAATTTTTTTTTTCATATAATACATGTTGTATAACACTTCTATAATATATGAGTACAAGTAGATATGTATGTATATATGGTGTTTAGGGTTATTTTACTAGGCGTTTGGTTTTGAAATGAAAAACTCAGAAAAATTAGAAATTTACATGCTATTTTTATCTAAATCATCAAATCTACCATTGGAATTTGATTTTTGAATAAAATTTCATATACATATATATTATATGAATGCTACGAGTATATTATGTACGTTGTAGATAATCAATTCGAATGAACCAAATTTTATGTCACTAACTACTTCACCTACATTTTTTTTTTTTTTGGAATATCGTAAAATATTATATTTGAAAATAATTAAATATTTCATTATTACTACAGTCGAAATTAGACGGTTCAATTAACAAATGTAAAATGTAAAATTATTTGCTACCCGAACGTATTTCCAATTATTGTTTATTCAATTTTTTGATATTTGGATGCATTTTTTGAGTGACATTTTCTCTATGACAATTCACTTCCCAAATATAAATATATGAAGAAAAAAAAAAACGGTATCGAAACAAAATAATCACCCGTTATATTATAAATGAAAGAAAATTTCAATTGCCTGAATTAAAAATTAGAAAAGCTTATAATATAATTCTCATGTAAACAATAATAATAATAATAATAATGACAATAGAACGAATCATATTATTATATAAGAATTAAATGACAATTATTGTAACAAAACGATGACAACTAAAAACGTAAGTAAATTTTCAAGTACCTAATCTAGTTCTTTTGTATTTTTTTTTAAATGATATCAAAACAAAGTCGATTTTTTAAACAAAGTCGGATTCATAAGTGCATACACGTACGTAAACATAGAATATACACGTGATAATACAATAAAAACAATGTAAGTTATATTTTTATTATATATATATATTGTGAATGGACTTTGAACTATAAATTGTTTTAATAATTTTGAAAACCGACACAATCTATTTGACAGTAAAAAGGTTGTGATTTAATATATATACATATATATATTTAAAGTAGATATTGAATATAAAATTATAAGGAAATGTAATTTAATCTCATATCTTGTGTATAAAAGAAATCATTAAATTCTAAATAAATAAAGTGAATAATTTTTGTTTTTAAATAAATAATTATGTGTAATATGCTTATATATAAAAACCGATGACATAAAGAAAATTTTAAAGGGTTGCAAGAGTACAAAAATAAAGTTTTTTTTTTCGAACTATTAAAAAGGAATTGAAACAAAGAAAATTGCATTAGCATTTGAATTTAGCATTTGAATGAACTATTTTTGTGATAATTAATTGAAATGTGATTAAAACTTAATGTTTATTAGCCTTAACTGCAAATATTTGAGAGAAATATTTATGATTGTTGTTATTTATATAAGTATGTAATTTAAAATATAGAACAATTTTAGAAGACATAATTATACCCCAAAATTATTTTCATGTAATGGGAAACCTATCAAAATCATAATTATAAAAAATATTCAATTATTATTCAAATATTAAAATTATTCTATATAAAATATTTTCAAAATACGTTTAGTCAGTGAAAAATATTTAAAGTTTAATGTATTCATTCAACAGAATTTCAAAGCGGAAATAAAATTTTGTAATTACGGCAATGATCAAAGATTTCGTGACATGACTATTGTGAAAATTGTGATATTATCAAAAAAAATTAACTTGTGAATTCTTGTACTTTTCAAATATAATACTTATCTTAAATAAGAAAAAAAAAGTAATTATGTATAAAAAGTACTCTGAATATACCATATACACAAATAAATATAAGTATGCAAAACCAAAGGTGTATTAATTAACAATATTAAACGTTAAACATAAAAAACAAAATTAAAAAACCAATCAAAATATGTAAACAATTTGATTATAATTAAAATTGATGATAATTTCATTAATACGTGCTATACAAATGTAATTAAAATCTGAGAACGTAAAATAATTGTATACAGGGTGTGTCGTATCTAAGTACACTGTTATATACTAGTGTACGGACCCTTATGGGTAAACAAAATTTTTATATGGAGACAATATTCACAGCTTAACTGGTTCCGATTTACAGATACTTAAATTCACTCTTGACCGTTTAGTAATGATATATAGCATTTATTAATGGTATATTAAATATAATTTGGAAACCACAGAACAAGGACTTTAATTATAATCTGTTCACATCACATGACCTTAAAATTCGAGCAATTTTGAATTTTTAATTTCGTATTTTTAAAAAATGTTAATTTTTTAGGTGACGTAACATTTCCACTCTTTCTACTATATATTTAATTTATGGTAGTATCAAATAACTGTTTCAGTTCTCAAATAAAGATTTATGTAGAAATGTTGAATCAATAATATTTATAAATTAAATTAAATTGAAATAAAAAAATATTGAATGATTCTCATTTGCAATTTTGAAAATAATACCAGATGCCAAAGAAAGTTCGAACCTAGATCCAATTGATAAAGTAAGCTCAATAATATGCATATCTCAATATTAAGTAAGACAATATAATCAATTAATCAATATTAGCATGAATTAATTTAAAATAAGGGTCAATACGATATTTACATTGAGTATACATTATATTTAGGGAATTTATATAAATAGTCCAAAAAGATAGCGCTACCTATGTAAGTACGCCTTTTTAAAGGAATTATTGTCACTTACATTTATTCTAGTTGATGTCTTTTGATAAGAGATATGATTTTCTTGAATTTGAATTAAAAAAATTTAACTCGAAATTTTTTTTGAGAGTATTTTAGAGGAAAACACCCTAAATTGTCATTTGTCACAAATTTTATTAATCTTTATCATCTTTCAATATATATAAAAAATAATCGAAACACAAAATAATTATTAAGCAAAACAAAAAATATTAAATGAAGTGCGTGATTATATGTAGTTTTTTTTTAATAATAAATTTTTTAAACACTCACAAAAGTATTAAAAACTCGAACATATTTAATTTTTTCACACATAAAAATTATTTTATCAATTATTATTAGATACACAATAATATACTAAAGAATTTAAATGTGAAGAAATAATTAAGCGATTATAAATTTGTTAAGGTAATTTTTTTTAATTTATAAAATACACTTTAAATTCTATTTAATTAATAAAATACAAATATTAAATGTCGTGTAAAATCATGCAAATTTAATATTTAAGAACTCATTATTATTACGATCATAACAATTATCGCCATGCAAATTTTAATTTTAAAAAAGGTATAACAAACTAATTATTGTCTTCAACATGCAAATTAAATACTTTTTTTTTTAAATATTAATTAAATTTCATATTGTTTTTTTTTTTTTTAGATTAATCAAATTTTAATTTAAAAAATAATTTTGATTTTGTTATTTCGATAATATGCTTATGTTTTTTTCTATTTTTTAATTTATATGACTTTGGTTTTTTTTTTTTTGATTTTTACTTACTGGGCATCATCTTCGATAAACATTTTGATGATTTGTTATTTATTACAGAACAACAACAACAACGTCTTGGAAAACCCAACAGTTAAAATAAAAACGAACAAAACTTGTATACAAAGTAGTAGTAAATAAGGTAATGAATAAATTGGTAAGTAGTAGTAGGTTAATTTAAAATAGAAATATTATTCTTTCTCTTTTTTTTTTTTATGTAACAATGTTAATTTATTTCTCCAATTAATGTATATAGAGAATTAAAATTTTTTTTCAATCACCAAACACAGTTTTTTTTTTCTTAATTATTTTTTTAATTTTTTTCTTATCTTTTTTTGTCAAATTTGTTTTTATTTTTTGTTTTAGTTTTTCAGTTAAAAATATATAAAAAAAAAATCTCCAAACTCTCCAATTATTTTTTCTCCAAAACTCTCCAATTTAAATTTCTTTATTTTTATAAATTTTGTAATATTTTTAATGTAAGAATGAATAATTAGCTTTTATATACCGAATTGGTATTTTCAATAAAATTATGCCCCAACAAAAAATAAAATACAAAAAGCTTAAATACACATTTGTATGTATAAATATGTATTTCTATATTAATGCGAAATATCTATGTATGTATATGTTTTATGTATATGATGAAAAAATATCCTTAGAAGACGTATATAAATTTTACACCTTTCTCCTTTCAATAATTTATTTAAAAAATATTATTTTATGTATGATTCAAAAAAAAAAAAAAAATATTACAAAAATAATTACAAATTTTTATTTGAAAATATGAAAATTTAATTTTTTTTTTTTTTTTCAGAAAATTAATATGAAAATAAATATTAAAATGATGATTTAAACACGCACTATTACAATAAGGAACGATGAATTAAACTTCTAATATTTTAAGAAGAAAAAAAAAAATAAGATTTAATTATTCTTGTTAATTAATTATGGTTTTTGAATATCTTCAATATACTTTGGATGATCCTGAAATGAGAAAAAAGAAAATAAAAAAAATTAAATAATTTTAATAAAATAATTTGTTTAGTTTTTTTAATTATAAATACATAAATGGTTATTAAATATCAAAATTAATTTTAAAGAACGAAAATTTAAATTATAATTGCAATCAGCCCAAATTATTCAATTCTAAGACTACGCCGAAATATAGAATCAAAACCCGTGTCAGTGGAAATTGCAGTTGCTCTTCGACGCACGTACATATATGCGAAATGTACTTTGCCTTACATGTTGGTTAAATTAAGAAATTTAGTAAAAACTAAAACTAAAATCTATGACAATTTCAAAAACAACACAGAGAAATGAGTTTTTTTCTAGATAACTAAATTACACGTATATGAAAAGAGAGATGAATCTAACATGCATACATATATTGAGCTAACAATTTAAGAATTATTGAATTTTAATTGGATATTTTCTTCCTTTATTAATTAATTGCAAGAAAATTAAAAAAAAGCATTAATTCTGTTAATTTTATCATTAACAAAATAATCAAAATTTTAATTTTCTGAATATTAAAAAATACAAATTAGAACAGTAATACAAAAAATATAAAAATTTTAATGAACAAAATTTAATAAAAAAATATTTCTTCTTCCATACCGGTAAAAAAATATTCATTCATCAGTTTTACATACACATATTTATACACATTCATAATAAGAATTGGAAAAATACATAATCAGAAAAACTTAACATAATAAGAATTTTTAAATTGGAATATTAAGAAAATTATTCCTCTCACATACTTAGTATTTGAAATAAGATATTCAACTTAATTACTGAGAATGTTTAAAAAAAAGGAAATTTTAAGGTTCATTACACCCCTACTTTACATTTTTTACTTAATATAAATTTTAAACTAAATCATATGAAAATTAGAACACACTAAATTGATTTTAATGGATGGTATATTGTACAATCTAATTTCAGTATATATATACAAAAATAGATACTGTTTCTCCCCTTACATAATTATACATAGTTCAGTAGATTTTGTTAAAATATATTTCCTCTATAGTTCCTCATTTTTTTTTTTGCTATTTTCAACATTCATAAAAATAACTTAAATATATTTAAGAAAAAAAAATGACAATAGAAATACAAAATTCTAAAAATAATTCTTATTCTTTCACCTTTTTTCAAAAAAAAAAAAAAAAAAAAACAATACTTAAAAATATATTTTTTAATATTCATTTAGTCAAATATATAAATAAAAAATCCCACGTTTTAGAATATGGAGGGCATAAATTTTCAGACTTTGCTCTTTCTCTCTCTCATTAAAAACATCAAAAACAAGAAAACCTTCGTTTGCTACCAAAGTAAAAAGTTCATTATAGAAAAATTTTGTTATTTTCTCTTTCAAATTTACGATATCATCATTATTTAAAATTTATATATTTTGATAATTATCCGTTTATATGTATATATGCATGTTCATAAATATGTAGGATATTTTCAAAAAAAAAAAAAAATTTATTATTTTTAAGATTTGGTTCTTTCATTTGTTTTCAATGGTTTCTTTAATAATATTAACCTTGAAAAATTTTTTAAAAATAATTTTTTCCTATACAAATATTTTTATATAAAATTTGCCTCTTTTTCTGCGTCACAAATTATTTTTTTTTTTTGTATGTATGTATTTTTTAATATAATATTTAATAAAAAATGAAAAAATAAAATCAATAATATTTAATAAAAACATTTAATTCAATTTACGATAAGATAATATGTTGGATCAATTCACAATACATACGATATAATAATACATAGGTAATTAGTTCAATTCAAATTTTTATACAATTCTAAATTAAACAAAACAAAAAGTGTATAACAATTAAAATTAGATTCATTAACTCTTGTGAATTGACGCAATATTTTGTACTAATTTACGATCAATAACACACCAGAATTGTCTAGAAATTTTCTTTGTTTGACAGATCAAATAAGCAAAGACAAAAAAAAAATATGGTTAAAAAAAAAAAAACAAATAAAAATGTGCAATAAAGAATGAAAATGAATTTTTTGAAATTATAATTAGGAATTTTTAATAGGACATTTTTTTTTTTAAAAGATCATTAAACTTCAATTAAACTTGAGGCAAAAATAAAAATGATATTTCAAATATAGGAACAAAGAAATGTTTGATCAAACTTGATTGAAACTAAATCAAAATTTCTTTGTTGTAAAATTGTAAACTTAAATGAAAATTACTTACATAATAAAATTTAGCAATCTATTAAAAAAAAATATTTTTTTTGGGATCAACACAAAAATTTTTTTCACCAAGATGTTCTCAAACAATTTCGATTCAATTTTTTTTACCTTCTACTCAATGATGAATGAAAAGTTTTTTTTTAAAGATTTTAATTTGAAGGGAAATTTTTGAACTTTAAAAAAAGTCAATAACAAAATCTCAATTAATTTAATAGTGACATTAAGTACATTATGTATATATACATATTGGTATATATATAGTATGTATGTATATTGTTTAAAAATAATCGTTCATGGAATCGTCATTGGACAAGAACATTAAGAATTTAAACCGAAAAAAAATAAATAAATAAATAAATAAACAAAATTATTGCTTTTATAGAACGCAAATATCATCTGCTGATGACGGCAACATATTTGAAAATTTTATTTTTCTCTTGGAAAATTTCACAATTGGAATTTAAGTGAAAATTTATTTTTTTTTTTTTTAATTTATGAACCTAAAATCTTTTCTTTTGTTTATTGTGACGTAATGTTAGAGTATTGTATAATAATTTAAATCTTACCACAAATTAAACATGACAATTGAATGTAACTTTGACCATGGACTTGATTTTGATTTTAAATTTTTGATAAAATAAATTTATGTATGTATGTATGTAGTTATTAAATTATTATTAAGATTTAATAATGAATTTGAATTGCTTTCTAATTAGAAATTTTTATATTAACTAATTAAATTTTTATAATATATTGAGGGAAATGTAAATTTAGCGAATGATTGATGGAAAATAATTTAAAACTTATGTTAACAGTGTAAAATATTATAAAGAATTATTGTTATATAATTGTTATTATAATGAAATAATATATCTAAGAATGTAAAGTAGGATCTTCGAAGAAGTTTTGAAAAGCTAATGCACAAGAAAAGGACAAGAGCACAAAAGGAAAAGACATAACAAAAAAATAGGGACTAAAAAGTGATTTATTTGCGTTCTGCCTAGATAAATTTTGAAATGTATTTTAATTAAAAAATTGAATAGGTATGTGAAATTTTATACTAAATTTACGCAATGTAGTCGGTAAAAATTAAAATTCTATATTCTTGCCCCTTAAAATTTTATATGTTCGCTTTTCGCTCTTATTTGCATTCCCATTTTTCAAAACACAAGGATAGCAGCACTTTCTTATAGAATAATTACTGAAAATGCTACAATACTAAAATTTTTTTTGTAAAATTTGAGTGCTACTAATATATAAATATATATATAAATATTGACTTATCTTAAATGAAATTTTCGCATTATAATATTTTGAATTACGTCAAAATGTGTTGAAATAACACACATTTTATCGTAAACTTAAAAATAAAACGCAAAATTTTTGTAAATTTTACTTTCATCTTTACGTTTTTATCTTTACTATCACATATATATATATATATATATATATATACGTATACATATATAAATTTCTACATTTAAAATGATTTCCCTTATTTTTCATTGAATCATTTCATTTACAATTAAAAATCTTACGTTTTTATACAAAAGCATCACGAAATTTCAAAAATAAATAATTTTTGGCAAAGAAATAAACTCAATATCAACCTAAATTTACAATTTTTTTTTTTTTGCTTTTAAAACAAAATTATAAGAATGTGTGTTGATGTATAGAAATAATATAGCATTTAAATACACCATACACTAGAAAAAAAATTTAAAATGTGTAAGACAAAAAAAAGAGTATAAAAATTGGACAAAATGTAACAATAAAAAACGGAAATTTCTATTTTTAAAAATCAAAATCTTTGAAAAGTATGAAAACAAAGATCTCATTTTAAAAATTTTTTTTTCTCTTCAATTTTTTTTTTCTTATACGATTAATCTGTGATACCGTATAGCATTATTTGTAGTGGATAAACCACATACTTATATATACCGCCTATAATACATGACAATCAAAGAAAAATACAACAAATTTTATATAACTTGTATAAAACTATGTGCAATTTCAACATTAATTTATAAATAACTATTTAATGCATTACATTTTTAAATATACATAGGAAATTGAGTGTGAAATAGCAGTGGCATTTTTGACTACTTTTTAATATTTTATAATTTTCATTTTATACAAGATTTATAATTAAATCCAAGTTTTAAATTTAGAGCACGGAAATA